CCCAGCCCTCGCCAGGCCCTGCAGCACACCGCATTGCCACCGGCACGGCTGCTCCTGCTGCATGCGGGGAGCGGAGCTCTGCCCACCTCCCTGAGCAGTTATATAAAAGGATTAAAATTTAATATGAACTTCAAAAGGGGAACAACTGGGTGGTCGAGGATGGCTGGGCCAGGGCCAGGTGCGGAGCTGAGGCACCCTTGGTCACGTCCCGGCTCTGCCGAGACGTGGCACTGCGGCACGTAGAGACCAGCTCCGTCCAGCCTGGCCCGTGGGCACGGCTGCATGGGGCCAGAGCAAAGTGCCCGGGCACCCTGGCGTCCTGCGAGCCCACGCTGGGTTAACTGTGCTGTGGTCTCCCCGAGTCACGACGGTGCACGATTCCCATGGCACATGGACACTCTGTCCCCCTGGGGCCTGGCCTTGCCCCATACCTTTGCCTCCCCCCTGGCAGCCGAGCAGCCTTTGATAACCCACCGCCGACAGGCACAGCATCACCCAGCCGTCCCGGTGCCCGGCCGCCACGCTGCCTGTGCCGTGCCGGTGGTCCCCCATGCAGCCCGTCTCCTCCCGCCCGATGCTTCACACTTCCTTCCCAGGCACCAGTGGGTTGGAGCATGCTGGAGAGCAGCCCTGTGCTGGGGGGGAGGGCAAGACCCCCGGTCAGGGGGCAGCTGATGCACCCCGGCCCCCGCCACGTGCCCCAGAGCCCATGCGGCTGCGCAGCGCCCGTTGCTCCCGTCCATGCAGCGCTGGGAAGCGGGGCTGCGGTGGCGGCAGGAATGAGCCAGGGCTGGGAAAACACCATCTTCCGCCCACGCAGCCGCCCGCGGCCCTGTGCTGGCTCCGCCACCCCCGCCGCACGCCAGGGCTCGCCGGGAAGGTGGGCGGCAGGCGCGGCGTTTGGAGGCTGCGCTGTGTTCACCGTGGCCACCCACCCGTGGGCAGGGTAGGAGATGGGGTGGGGGGGAGCAGGGTCCTGCAGCCCCCGGAGCAGGAGCTGCCCCAGCACAGGCTCCTGCTGCAGGAGCGGGGCTGTAAGCCAGGGCTGGGAGGATGGGGATGGGGGGCTGGTGCTGGGGGGGCCGGGGGGTGCCCAGCACCCAGCCCTGTCCTGGGGTACGGGAGCAGCTGGCACTGCTCAGTGTGTGGCGCAGGCGCCTGCCAGCAAAGAGACTGGGGAAGCCTTTGGCTCATTCATTTTTAATCCTGGCCGAGAGCAGGAGGGATGCGGGTGCGAGGCTTGGGCACGCTGCAGGATGGGACCGACTGCACAGCACTTAACAGCCCCCCGCCCCGGGCAGCCCAGCTCATGCCATGGGTGTCTTTGCTCATACATGTCCCCACGGGATGGAGACCCCCGGGAGGGGACAGCAAACCTCGGGCATCCCTCCCCGTCCTGTCTCACCAGGTCCCACCACGGCTCAGCCTCCCCTCAGAGCGCCTCAGCCCCCGCCCTTGCCAAGCAAGCTGTCATCCCGGTGCCTGCGAATGCAAAGGGCAGGATCCGTGCGTGAACGGAAACCGTGGGCTCGTGAGCGCGTGGGGATGCGCAGAGAGCAGAGCGGGGGTGGGAGGAGGAGGAGGGTGCACACAAAGCCAGAGCTCCCCCCCACGCTGCTCCCCATCCCCAGCCGGCTGCCAGGGACCCTGTCCCACCAAGACCGTGGCACCGGGGCACCTGGGGGGCAGGACCCCGGTGCCCACCCCGCTATGAGGAGGCAAAGGAGGATGCGCGGACGTTAGGCACGGGCCCGGTGGGGGCCGGCGGGGAGAGCGGGAGGCACCGGCCGATCTTGCGCAGGGTCCGTCCCAGGTCGGCGCGGAAGCGGCGGATGGAGAAGCAGTAGATGAGGGGGTCGAGGCAGCTGTTGAGGCTGAGCAGGGCCACGCTCAGCGCGTGCAGCACGTCCAGGGTGGCGGGGGGCCCGCAGAGCGGCACGGGGGGCCGGCTGCCCACCCAGGGGGCCAGCGTGAGGTGGTAGGGGGCCACGCAGACCACGAAGACTAGCAGCATCCCCAGCACCATGGCGCGTGCCTGCTGCCGGTGGGAACCCGGCGAGGAGGCGGCAGCGGGCACCGAGAGCGCCCGGGCGATGGAGGCGTAGGTGCCCAGCACCACCAGGAAGGCGACGGCGAAGAAGCCCACCATGGCATAGGCGTACGCCCGCTGCCGGCCGTGCTGCTCGAAGCAGGCGGTGGCCCCGGCGCGGGCGGGGAAGGTCTGCCAGGTGGCCAAGGTGGGCACGGAGCAGCCCAGCCCCAGGAGCCAGGCCAAGGCACAGGCCAGCGCGGCCCCCCGGCGCCCCGTCAGCGGCAGCTCCCGCCGCGTCGCCCGCACCGCGCAGTACCGGTTGAAGCTGATGAGCGCCATGAAGGTGATGGCGCTGTAGGTGGCCAGGTAGTAGGCGGCCCCGGCCAGGCGGCAGGCAGCCTCCGAGAGCAGCCAGTCCCCCCCGGCCAGGTAGTAGGGGATCCAGAGGGGCAGGGTGAGGTTGAAGAGGATGTCGGCCAGCGTGAGGTTGATGAGGTAGATGCGGATGGCCTTCCTCACCTTGCCGCTCTGCAGGAAGACCAGCAAGGCCACCAGGTTGCCCGGCAGCCCTACGCACAGCACCAGACAGTAGACAGCGGGCACCAACACGAACTGCACCGGGTCGCTGGACACGCACTCGCCGGGGTGCCCTGCCAGCAGCGGTCCCGGTGCCGAGCCGTTCATCCCGGGCTCCTGCAAAGACGGGGTGACGGTCAGTGGCACAGCCCTGAACACAGCCTTTGGGGGATAGGGAAGGGACATCGACCCGGACAGGATGACTTCTCCGGCTGGCACCCACGGGCACCGGAGGCAGAGCCCCCCCGGCGGACATGCCATCGCCTGCCAGAGGGGCTCAGCCTCCAACAGCTCCTGGCAGGAGACGAGGGGCTCCAAGATCCCCTCCCATCCCAACCCCAGCCATGTACCCCCACGCCACGAGGGAGCCCGGAGGCCACCGCTAGCCACCCAGCCGAGGCTCCCCGGGGAGCGGCAGGCGCAGCTGCACCGCGGCCGAGGGGCAGAGCCGTGGCCGGCAGCACCCGGAGGTGCTGCGCCGGCTCCAGCTGGCAGCTGGGGGGGCTTAACACCTCCCACGCAGCCGCGTGCCTGCTGGGGCCACACAGCCCCCACGCTGCTCCCAGCACCCTAAATCCCCCCACGGAGCCCACCCATGGGGAAGTTGCCCACTGGCTCAGCGTGCAGTGGAGCGGAGAGACCCCGGTGTGGGGAGGGGGTACGAGCACGGGGCTGGCCCCCCCGTGCTCCCCAGCCCTGCCACCCCACTGTTTGCTGGTCCTGGCCATGGAAAACCCCATTGTGCCGCAACGGCTGTATCCCTGGGCTGCAGCTACTTCACCTCCCATCACCGCCTGCCCACACCTTGCCAACGGCACTGAGTCACCCAGCGGGTGTTTTCCAGCATGGCAGGGCCGGATTCGGCACACGCAGCACCCAGCACCAGGCTGAGGCACGGAGGACATGAGCTGCCGAGCCTGGGGGTGGGATTCAGGGCTCATCCTGGTGGGCTTTAGTTGTTCTGCAGAGCCAGCGCAGACGCCCAAGGACCCCCAGCTCCCTCAGCGGTCCCCCTTTCCTCTTCCTTCCCCCACCCCTGTTTGCACGGGGGATGCTCCATCTCACGCGTGCCGGGCTGGTTACTTACCCCACTGCGTCGGGCTGGAGTGGCTGCGTCCCCTCCGGCTGCTCCTCGCTGTCTGATCCAACCAGGCTGGGGAAGGCTTTAAGTGCTGGGGGAGGCAGGGGCTGCCTGAGCCCCCCCTGCCACCCCAAGCCCCCATAGGGGTTAGTGTGTGCGGGACAGCAGCTGGAGTGGGGTGAGCACCTGCGTGTGTATGTAATGGGGGATTCCCCACTGGAGCCATGTTAAGACCCCCTGCGCCGGCTGACGGGGCTGGGACTACGTGGGGGGGCCCGGCCGCGCCAGTACCGGCGCGGCCGGGCCCCCCCGCGTAGCCCCAGCCCCATCTAGGACCACTTCCCAGGGCCCTTTTCCCACCCACGCTGGGATGAAAGTGGCGGAGGGTCAAGTTTCCGCACCCAGCAGCTGGGGAAAAAGAGGGATGCCCTGAAAGGGATCAAAGCTGGAATCTGCCTCCTCCCGGCTCTTAGTGCTTTTGTTGGCTTCAAAGCTGGATTTAGGGGGAGCAGCACTCTGCCCCCCCCCAGGCTCTCTGAGCATCCGACTCGCTGCTTTGCATGGTCCTGCAATTTGTGGATATTCCTTTGGGACACCAAAGGTGCCAGCCCAAGGTGGTTCAGGTCCCGCTGGGGGTATGGGGGTGTTGTACCTCCTCTGCTCATCCCAAGACAGCCAGTCTACCCCCACAGCCATCCCAGCTGCCTTGCTGGGAGACGCACCGGGTTCAAACGTGGTTTTGGGGTTCATCCTGCGTGGACCGCGTTGACCCTGTCCATCCGAGGTGGCGGAGGGGTCCCTGTGGGTGCAGGGCCCAACTGGAGCAAGATCCCCAAAAAGCACGTGCCTGCCCGGGCACAGGGTTTGGAGGGTCATGCTGTCACCCCCTCTGGATCTGCAGCAAGTGGCGTGGCACATTGCTGGGTGTCTCCGGGCGGCCGGGGGGGTCCCGCCTGCATGGGGCTCTCCCCACCGGCTGTCTGCCTCTGCGCCAGCTGCCACCGGCTCCTGCCTGTCCCCAGACCTTGTCCCCGGGCACTGCTCCAGGCAACCAGGACCTCCAGCCCCAGGACGTCCCCTCAGCTCCCCTGTGGCTCAGCATGGGGGGAGGCAGAAATAAAGAGGGGAGGCAAAAAATGAAAAACAAGAGGCTTTATTCCAAAATATGAAAGCCCCAAGGAGAGCAGAGCCAGCCCCAGCCCAGCGTGGCCGAATGCTGGGAAGAGCCGGACACTTTGTGCGAGTTTAGCAACAGAGCTGCCGGAGCGGTGGCGGTGCCACGGCCACCGTCCCACAGCACCAGCCCGGATCCTGCAGTGTGGGGACAACCAGCACGACTGTCCTTGGCAGCGGCAGGAGAGGACACACTGTGCACCAGCAGCAATTTACCTCGCAGGATGCGATGCCGTCCCCGAAAATACCGTAAGGGCATTGCTCCCCGCCGGCCGAGCCGTCCACCCTTCCCACCTCCGGTCACTCGAACTTGGGCTTGGGGGGGTCCGCGTGCCCGCGGATGTTGAGCAGCAGGAGGAGGCCGAGGCAGAGGGTGGCGGGGGCGCACATGGCCAGGGGCTCCCGCAGCACCAGCAGCGTGTAGATGGCACCTGGGCGAGGAGCAGAGTGTGGGAACCGGGGTCCTTGCCCGAGGGTCCCCCGAGACCCCGCGCAGGGCGGCGGGCGCCCGTTGGCTCTCACCGATCATGATGACGCTGAGGATGAAGTTGCTGATCTCCTGCAGGAGCTGGGGCCCGAACGCCAGCAGCAGCCCGGTCACCACCTCCACCCAGCCCACCACCTCCAGGTACCGGCCCGGCTCGGGGGCAAACCCGAATTCCTTCAGGGGAAAGACGTCGGCGAACCGCACAAACTGCGACTTCTGGGAAGGGCGGGAGGGGAGCGGAGCTGCCCTGAGCCCTGGGCTGGGGGGCACAGGCCCTCCGGCGGGGTCTGCTCGGCTCAGCCCTGCGCCCCAACGGGCTCAGCCCCTTCCCCAGAAAGGCTCTGCCCTGCACCCCAAGGGGCTTGCTCACCCCGAAGGGCTCTGCCCTGCATGCAGCATCCCAACCTGCTCACTCCCCAAAAGGGCTCAGCCCCGCACCCCAGCACCCCAATGGGCTCAGGGTCCATTTTTATATAAATAAAATCTGGGGATTTTCCCGGAAAGGCTCTACCCTGCACCCCAAGGGGCTCAGGCTTGCTCATCCCAAAGGGCTCTGCCCCGCATCCAGCACCCCAACCTGCTCACACCCCCCCCAAAAAAGGGCTCAGCCCCGTGCCCCAGCACCCCAAGGGGCTCAGCCCCTTCCCCAGAAAGG